CTTGCAACGCTAGAATCCGGGTCTCGATACCCGTGGTGGGTAGAGCACAGATAGCTCATTGTGTAGCTTTGTGCTTAATTACAAACGAACTAACAACATTTTGAAAGAATAAGTCGTAGGTCACTGACAAATATTTGTCAGTTTCTATGGTATTTTTACGTTTTATAGCAAGAAGTTTGCAGCAGTGTTCAACCAATCAAATGTCGCACTCTGAATTATTCCATCATCGCACATCCTCAGTAATGGTGAGTCTCAACACGTTGACCGCCTTAATGACCCTGGCAGTCAATAGGACTAAAGTCCAAATAACCAACCGGTAGCATTGCAAAGTGGCCTGATGATTCAATATGGTTGTTGGTTTAAAAATCCCCCCCCCCCAAAAAAAAACAAGCCCAACAACAACAAAAAAACAAACAAACTAGTAATGCATATCCGAATATTGCCTTGATACTGATGCAAGTGAAAAAATTCATTCCGCACATGAATTGAAAAAATTAGAGGAAACATTGGTTGTGAGTACTGTTTGTTTTTTTTGTATAAGAAAGGGTATTGACATAGAGAGGGTTCAAAGAAGGGCTATTAGGATGAACCAGGAATGTGTTACCTTACGGGAACAGGTTAAAATCTCTTAACGTATTTTTACATGAGGAAAGAAAGGTAAATGGTGAAATTATCAACATTTTGAAAGATTATTTGAATAATCAATGCATACAACTATACTTTTCACATTCCAGAACAAAGTTTATGTTAATTGGGCAAAGTGATGGTTGGAATAACAATACGGTAAGACTGAATAAAGTCCTTGCTGATCGTATGTGTATTGGACACATCATACAAGGCATAGGTAGCACCTGAGTAATTTGTTTAGTTATACTATTCTGTCACTGTGTGGGAAGTTGCACAGATGGGAAGAATCGGTTCATGTTCCTAAATAAATAATCTCCTCGATCACCCACATACACCTCTTTCAATCTGTCTTTACATATACTGCATAATATTTTTGAGTTGGAAAGAATAATGTCCCGTGAATGATATTTTATTTCGGGAGGCCAAGTCTTCCTAAGCCTCTTACATGCACCACCCCTAATCATGAATACATACCATGTGATATCAAGTTTTCTTCAAACAGTGAATTCATTTAGATACTAAATGTACAAGTTATGGAATTACAGCAATTGATCATGAAAATAACATTGAAATTATAGGTACCACAAACACCTCCTAATTAAAATCTGCTTTATGTGTTAAATAAAATAATATATGTATTTAGAATGGAAGAAAAATGTGATTTTCTTCTTACCTGCCTATCGAATTCCTACAAAAAAATCTAATTCGACCAATTCTATTTTGAAAATCAGCAATGACATGACAGCCGTGACTGGTATAAGGTTGCGATAGAGCAGCATATATCAATTCTACATTTTGATTTTGTTCGGCGTTTCATAGGTAGTATTGCACCAACAAAAAGTGATTGCTTTTGGGAAGAGTATTTAATAGCCCTTTTTGATGCAAAATATTCATACATTCAGGTCGCAAAGATGTGTTCAGATCTGATATTTAAGATGAATAAATATTTTACGAAAATATCCAGATTTGAAATTTTTATTTGATATAAGACTATTACAATTTTAGGATATAAAAAAAATGGTTAATTTCGAACTCTGTTTTTTGTTTGTAATTAAGCACAAAACCAAAAAATGGGCTATCTGTGCTCTGTCCACAATGGGTATCGAAACCCGGTTTCTAGCGTTGTAAGTCGGCAAACATACCGCTGTGCCACTGGGGAGCTCAAACTCTGTATCAGTTATTTTAATTTCCAAGTTACAAGTTCTAAAATTCAGATTTATCTTTAATATTGGTATTTATGGCCAACATGTGCTATTTACGAGATTCTGCATCATAGATATATTATTGTTTAGGGATCAAAGTTAACGACTTACGAGAGCCTAGGGCATAGGCCGCCTACATAATGCAGAATAGAAGTATATCCTTTTCCGTTAAGCAGGAACTACATTTTTTGTCTTAAACCCGTCATGTCGTGTAAATTAACGTTTTAAAGAAATGTCTGTGTCTAGCATTCATATTCTGAAGATAACAATTATGACAGTCTGATTCATTGGCTGTCTTTGATCACATGACTGTTGTTATTCTTATTTTCGGAATTTGGATCAGGAACTGTATTGTTTTCAGAGTCATAATTACTGGTAGAAACCCAGATTCTGAAAACAAAAATTACGGCAATCAGTACGAGTTAGCTGCTCGATGGGAAATATATTTCACGAACGTTAAACAATTTGAGCAATTTAAATTTGACTAATCCTTTTCTACTGCCCCCAAGGGGCACAGAGGTATGTGTACGGACTTACAACGCTAGAAACCCGGTTTCGATATCCGTGGTGGGCAGAGCACAGATAGCCTGATTTGTAGTATTGTGCTTAACTTTAAACAAACAAACCTTTTCTACTTTCCCATCCAAACGTAACAATTTTGATCATTTGTTCAAATGAATTTTGTGCGAATGAGAGAAAAAAAGTCGCTTCGTTTAAGGCAGCAGTCGTTGCATGTCCAAGGGACAACATATATATTTCTCTGGTCGTTTTTTTTTTTCTGTGAATTTCAGATCTGAATAATTTCTCCAATTATTATTATTAGTATTATAGCTCCCGTGTCTAAATTTTCGGGTTTAGTATTCCAATTACACTTTTATTTGCCATATCCATTGCTAACGACGGGTTTCGCTCAATCCAATCTCATCAGACCGGTTGGGACACAACAAACACAGTAGTGGTCGGATCACCATTAATACAAGTCAATTGTTACAACAACAATTTTTATAGTGTGAACGCCTTTTCCAAGCTTTTAATATACGCTTTCTAATTCTTGAAAGTCCCTTGGGAATTATTCGCCAGCTTGGAAAAGACGTTCACTCCACCACATTTACGTTATTTGGCAACAATCAACGATGGTTTATTTGATAGCAGAAATAAGAATGGTATCGTTGTTAACGTATGACATCAACAGTTGAGCATTCTGTGCAACAGTAGAGTTTCATTGTCAGCGTACAACATCAAAAGTGAAGCATGGATAGAGACCAATGCAAATGTGGGCTGCATCTCAGCCAATGGCATTGGAGCTTTAAAAAAAAAAACCAAAAAAAAAAAACCCCGATAGTACATTGACCACTAATAAATACAAGCACATTTTTTATCTATCTTGCCATTCCCTCAGGAACAAGATGTGTTGGTTAGGGATTCAATTTCCGGCAAGACAGTGATCTAAAGCTTATAACAAATGTAATTAAACGATACATGGAACGAAAAAAAGGCCAATATAAGATTCACAACCATGGCTTGGCCTGCACAAATTTCGATGTTATTAAGGCTGTAGAGGCTTATATGGAAAATTAATAGGTCAAAGAGCAACATAATTTGGCTGAAAGGTTTGGAGTAGTACAGAACATTTCAACAATATTTCACCATCATACATTGTTAAACTTATGATAGTATAAAAACAACGTGTAATGCTCTGTTTAAAGCAAATATAAAGTACTAGTTTATATACAACCTGTTCGCTCTTTTATATTTTCTGCAAGTCTATTGTACTGTTGCGTATCTACTTGTTTGATTTCCGGTAAAAATTCTTTCCGAGAAACTTCAGTATCGACAAGTCCCTTCTTGATTAAAACTAGTTTATTCTTTCTCGATACAACTTTTTGTAATACACAGAATTTCCACAGTCACTTTAAACTTAACAACCTTTATAACACACGCTATAAATCGCAGTGATTCACACATTTTACTTACGGTGCCTACTGTTCGCTTGACTCAATTATCTATCTTTTCAATCTGTCTATATCTCTTCTATCACTGGCTTTATTTGCCGGGCTTATATACTAAAAAAGAGAGCGCCTGGCAAACACTCTGATATTCGCGGAGTTCCTCAATAAGTCACGATCCTCCTAGAAACTCCAGTGCGCATGCTCCCAGCGTGGCGTGACTTCCGCTGTCGTAACAGTACTAATGATAAATTAACCATTCAGTTGCAGTTTATTTGTAATTCCTAAGTGTGAATATCTGGACGTTTCCATTAATTACTTTCACTACTGTATGCATGTATGTTTATTAATAAACTGGTTCAGCTAAGTGTGAAAATTTAAAAACATTTTAAAACTTACTTTGATAGTTTCCTCACGCCGAAACTTAATATATTTTTGCGTTATACACAATGTAACTGAACATTTATTTAATGGCACAATATAGACACAAACAATCAAATTATTTTACTAAACGACATACAGATGAGATTAGAATGATGTGATGATGACCTTAAATTTATTCCATATTTTTGTTATGTTTCAGAAGTCAGTGATTCTCCATCGTCTGGAAGGTTAAATGCTGATCGAGTGAACAATGCTAACCTATCTGAGCGACGCCCTCTTCTGACTTTGGAAACAACCACAAAACGTTGGCAGAGATTCTTGGAGCTACCTGGTTTAGGTATTCTCTGTTCACTCTTCTCGGGGATTTGTTTCGCTAGTTGTTCCCTTATAGTTAAACTAATTCCCTGTATGAACCCTCTAGAAATTCTTATTTGCATGTGTGTGATACAAACATCTGTCTTCAGCAGTGTTATTATCCAAACACGACAACCTCTCTGCGGAGTTCCAGCAGAGAGATGTGTCCTCCTGGTTCGAGCAGTAAGTGGAGTGCTTGCTTGCAACCTCTCCTGTTACTCTTTTCGTTACATTCCTTTGGCTGATGCCACTATTATTATTTCAAGCACGCCTGTTTTTGTTAATATCTTTGCATGCTTGTTTCTTAAAGAGCCTTGTGGCTGGTTTCATGTAGCGACTGTGGCCACCACAATGACGGGGATTCTTCTAATAACCAAACCAACTTTTATTTTTGGCGAGATTCAGAAAAACAATGAGGCTAACAACATACTTGTTGGCTCTTTCTTAGCTTTTGGCAGCTGTTTGGCCATCTCTTTCGTTATGATTACTGTGCGAAAATTAAGGTCAACTAACTATGCTACCATCAACTTGACCTTTTCGGTCTTACTCATTGTTATTAACTCGGTCATTTTAACCATAATTAGAGACTGGTCATTTCCATCATGTGGAAAAGAGGGCTGGTTGCTTTCATTAATGGGGGTTTTGATTACATTTGCTCAGTTCTTTCAGACTGCTGCTTTAAAACTGGAAGAAGCGGGACTTGTTTCAATTTCAAGGACATTTGATGTTGTTATAGCTTTTGTTTTTCAAGTGACTTTACTAGATGAAGAGATCGTGTGGACCAGTGTACTCGGAGCAGTACTGATCTGTTCGTGTGTCGGGATGCTTGGGTGGAGAAAATGGAAAGGCTGAAAATTAGAATGGAAAAATCATGATGAAAAAATAAGTTTTCAGTTTCTGTATAAAAATAGTAATAATGCTTATTTTATTAGTTTTATTGAATTTCGCGTATAGCCACACAAGTGTGATTTGAATGTTACTCATTTAATGCTCCCACAGTCCCAAAGTATGGAGCGAGATTTTGCGGATAAGGGGCACAAACCAAATACATTCAGTTTCAAGTTTGGCACGCTAACAATAATAAACGCTTTTATATATACGTGTGTTTTTTTTATAGCAAAACCACGTTGGGTTATCTCCTGTGCCTACTGAGGGGAACGAATCCATGATTTTAGCGTTGTAAATACGGCGACTTACCGCTTTACGACCGGGGGACACGCGTAAGTAATTCGCTTATTGAATGTTAAGACATTATCAGCACTTAAAGATGAAAGGAAACTCAATATATCATGTAAAAGATAACTGTACGTAATAGATAACAATGATGATGATACTACACTTTATAAAATCTTGGATTATAAATTAAAGTTCTCATTGCACATCAAATCTGATTTAAAAAAAAAAAAAAATCAGTATAAGCTTTCCCATGAACTTTCTAAAATTACCCTTAACAATATAGCTTTTAAAACACGTTTTCAGTATTACGTTGAAATTGAAGTATTGCACAAACTAAGTGTATTGTTTTCAACTTTAAGATTAAAACACATTCTTCTTAGAGTGGTATAAGAAATAAAGGCAAAAACCTTATTAATTATTTGTATAAAGTCGCATCTTAGTAGACCTATTCCTCGGTATTTCAGCGATAAGTCTACGATGCTAAAATCAGGAGTTCGATTCTTGAGGTGGACGGAACGCAGATAGCCCATTGTGTATCTTTGCGCTAAAAATCAACAAAAACAGCTTTAGTAGACCGAATGTGGTTAGTGTGTCAAGCTGCAAATAGAGGGGGTCTGGTGTTAGAGATGTGATGTCGCTGAATACGTTCTGTACCTTCAGCTGTCGGAACGTTATAAAAGTGACAGCCAATCCCGTTATTTGTTTACTTTTCAGCAGTAAAATGTAGTTTTCTGATTCGCTAGCAAAGTTTCTACTGCATGATTATATCTTGAATATTTGAAAAAGTTTTTTTGTTTTTTTCTGGCTAAGGAGGTATAACGCTCATATTAAATTTTGATACAATTTTTTTTTTTTGCATAGCAGTTAGAATATATTGTCAGACTTAAGCCTACACAAAACATCTATTGATATAGATTTAATATCATGTCATAGTGGATAGATTAGTACTATATGCAGGTTATGGTTAAGTGTCTCAAGCTTACGAGGCTTGAAAGCTTTTTTAGTGCAAAACCTTGTCCACACTGCTTGCGAGAGAATAATTTAGAAGCACAGTAGAGAAGGAGCATCCACACCAGCAGCGAGCGACGTAGTTTTGAGAAATTTTCGTTTCACTAAAATAGAACCCGTCTCTATTATTTTTTTCTCTCTCTCTCTCTCTTCGTGTGATGCGAAGAAAACTGGCCAATCAAATTAATCCGGACTATAATGATAATAAAGATGGTTATTATGTGGCGCTTAACAACAACAACATAATAATAATGTTGCACTTTAAAATACTTTAAAAAGTTAATATACAGAAAATGTCAAAGAAGGAGTTTTTACAGAAACATAATTCAGATTGCAGAAAGTTGTGTGTGTGTTTGAAATGTTCTAAATAAAATGTTTATTTTGACTATTACCTTGATATATAATTGCTTTATTAAACAGAACAAAAATATATTCCAGTGTTGTATTTAAATATCTAGAATTTTGGTTGTTATTAATCAAACAAGAACACATCAAACCAGCATAGTTTTTGTTTTTTCGTTACTGAGCACAAAGCTACACACTAGGCTAACTGTGTTGTGTCCATTATGGGTATTAAAACCCGCTTTTTTGCGTTATAAGCCCTCAGATCTGTCGCCGAACCAAAGGGGAGCTATCAAAAGTTCTATTAAACAACGGCCTGGCATGGCCAGATGGTTAGGGTGCTCGACTCGCAATCTACGGGTTGCGGGTTCGAATCCCCGTCACACCAAACATACTCTCCGTGGAGGCTTTATAATGTGACGGTCAATCCCACTATTCGTTGGTAAAAGATTAGCCCAAGAGTTGGCGGTGGGTGGTAATGACTAGCTGCCTTCCCTCCAATATTACACTGCTAAATTAGGAACGTGTAACTTTGCGCGAAATTCAAAAACAAACAAACAAAAAATATATTAAGCAACTTAATTTAAAGTTGATTTAAATATCATATATAAAACTAACTTACTTGCTCTCTATATCTGGATGTATTTATAACACGTGACAGAAATATGTAAACCTTTAGTAACAGCAGTATGACACATAACGAAAACTTAGAAGCTTGTTTGTTTGTTTTGGAATTTCGCGCAAAGCTACACGAGGGCTATCTGCGCTAGCCGTCCCTAATTT